AGTGTGTGTGTGTGTATAAGATCTGTTTGTTCCACCCTGTTGTTCTGAACATGGCTGGAATCTTTAATTACATGTCATCCTGCTGTTCCGCTGTGCTTTCAGGACTTTGGGTTGCCATAGCGCTTTCATAATATTGCACAGCATTTAATTACGCTTTTGATAGCTCCTGTTTCCGTGGATGAGTCGAACTCAGAGACCTCAGAGTCTTCACCCTTATCTGGCCATTACTCGGCTAACTGGACATGTTCAGCACTGTTCAGCATTAACATCATTAATCAGTGCAATAGATGGAGAAGGTCCTCTGTTTCTCTCTGAGCTTCATTTTAATGTACACTGTCCCTCAAATATCTGAGAACACTGTTTCTTTTAAAATTGAAGTTGTGATTTTTCAACAGAGATTAAAATAATTGCAGTGAATAAAGCACTGTTTTGAATTTACTATTAGTACCAGGAAATTTACATTAATAAAACCTTTGCATACATTGAATTAGCTACGAATGTGCACATTGTTTCCACAAAATGAAAATATATTACATCAACTTTTTTGGCTTTTAGTTCACTTACTTATAGCAGTAATTGTGTTGATGTAGTTCTTTTTATTCATGTGGAAATGATGTACACATTTGAATCAAGTAAATTCAAAGCATTACATTTTTGTGTGCAGAAAGTGTTCTAAAATAAAACAACCGCATGTGAAAGAAAGATACTTGTACATATATTTGCTCATATTAACATATGTGATGTTTTAAAATACATGTGCTACATATGTTTAACTGTGCCATTTTCAAATAATTAACATGCCAATATATGCATATACAGTATCTCACAGAAGTGAGTACACCCCTCACATTTCTGCAAATATTTTATGATATCTTTTCATGGGACAACACTATAGAAATGAAACTTGGATATAACTTAAAGTAGTTAGTGTACAGCTTGTATAGCAGTATAGATTTACCTTTGAAAATAACTCAACACACCGCCATTAATGTTTAAATAGCTGGCAACACAAGTGAGTACACCTCACAGTGAACATGTCCAAATTGTGCTCAAAGTGTCAATATTTTGTGTGACCACCATTATTATCTAGCACTGCCTTAACCCTCTTGGGCATGGAATTCACCAGAGCTGCACAGGTTGCTACTGGAATCCTCTTCCACTCCTCCATGATGACATCATGGAGCTGGTGGATGTTAGACACCTTGCGCTCCTCCACCTTCCTCTTGAGGATGCCCCACAGGTGCTCAATTGGGTTTAGGTCTGGAGACATACTTGGCCAGTCCATCACCTTTACCTTCAGCTTCCTCAGCAAGGCAGTTGTTATCTTGGAGGTGTGTTTGGGGTCGTTATCGTTTTGGAAAATTGCCATGCGGTGCAGTTTTTGAAGGGAGGGGATCATGCTCTGCTTCAGAACGTCACAGTACATGTTGGAATTCATGTTTCCCTCAATGAACTGCAGCTCCCCAGTGCCGGCAGCACTCATGCAGCCCCAGACCATGATGCTACCACCACCATGCTTGACTGTAGGTAAGAGACAGTCGTCTTGGTACTCCTCACCATGGCGCCGCCACACATGCTGGACATGATCTGAGCCAAACAAGTTTATCTTGGTCTCGTCAGACCACAGGACATGGTTCCAGTAATCCATGTTCTTGGACTGCTTCTCTTCAGCAAACTGTTTGCAGGCTTTCTTGTGCATCAGCTTCAGAAGAGGTTTCCTTCTGGGATGACAGCCATGCAGTTGATGCATTGTGCGGTGTATGGTCTGATCAATGCTGGCAGCACTCATGCGTCTATTTTTTGAAGCCAACCTCTGGATATGACGCTGAACACATGGACTCAACTTCTTTGGTTGACCCTGGCGAGGCCTGTTCCGAGTGGAACCTTTCCTGGAAAACCGCTGTATGACCTTGGCCACCGTGCTATAGCTCAGTTTCAGGGTGTTAGCAATCTTCTTATAGCCTAGGCCATCTTTGTGGAGAGCAGCAATTCTATTTCTCACATCCTCAGAGGGTTCTTTGCCATGAGGTGCCATGTTGAATATCCAGTGGCCAGTATGAGAGAATTGTACCCAAAACACCAAATTTAACAGCCCTGCTCCCCATTCACACCTGGAACCTTGTAACTCTAACGAGTCACATGACACCAGGGAGGGACAACGACACAATTGGGCACAATTTTGACATTTTCACTGTGAGGTGTACTCACTTGCCAGCTATTTAGACATTAATGGCTGTGTGTTATTTTCAGAGGACAGTAAATCTATGCTGCTATACAAGCTATACACTGACTACTTTAAGTTATATCCAAGTATATATAGTGTTGTCCCATGAAAAGATATAATAAAATACTTGCAGAAATGTGAGGAGTGTACTCACTTTTGTGAGATACTGTACATGGCAATATATTTGTACACATGTAGACTAAATAAATAAAGTTGTGTCAGTTTTTATTTATATATACACAGACCGGCCACTTCATTAAGTGTCTGTTTTATCAGCTCCACTTACCATATAGGAGTCTATACTATTGTACTATAGAGCACTTCGTACTATTACAGCCTGTAGTCCATCTGTTTCTCTGTATACTTTGTTAGCCCCCTTTTACCCTATTCTTCAATGGTCAGGACCCCCACAGAGCTGGTACTATTTGGGGTGGAGGATCATTCTCAGCACTGCGGTAACACTGATGTGGTGGTGGTGTGTTAGTGTGTGTTGTGCTGGTACGAGTGGATCAGAAACAGCAGTGCTGCTGGAGTTTTTAAACACCTCAGTGTCACAACCAAAAATATCCAGCCGGCAGTGTCCTGTGGGCACATTCCTGTGACCAGTGCAACACACACTAACACACCACCACCACATCAGTGTCACTGCAGTGCTAAAAATGATCCACCATTCAAATAATGCCTGCTCTGCCCAAATAATACCTGGTGGTCCTGTGGGGGTACTGACCACTGAAGAACAGGGTAAAAGTGGGGAACAAAGAATGCAGAGAAACAGATGGACTTCAGTCTGTAATTGTATTTGTACAAAGTGCACCAATATGGTAAGGGGAGCTGATAAAATGGACAAGGTGTAGATACAAGGGGTGCACATAATGAAGTGACCAGTGTATGTCAAAGTATGGAAATATATTACAAACTTCACACATATTTTAAAAAAATATATGGGAATATATGTCCTTTGCATGGGTATTTTTAGCTTCACTCAGCTTCATGTTCATCAAAGTGTGCATCCTTAGGGCTTTATCCTAGTGCTGGTTACGGTGACTTAATGCACTTGAATCAGCGCTCAAAGGAATGGTTAATCAAAAATGGTTCGCACTGTTCCCCTTACCCCAAATGTAGTTGATCAGTCAAGACGTCTGGTTTGCTTCTTTAATTATGTACCGAAGCTGTGAGGCAAATGTAGCTAAGAAGTAATGGACATCTATGGACTATCTTTTTGGGTCATACGGACTTCTGTCAAAGTTGTCTCGTAGCTGCAGTGCAAAACCGAAGAAACAAACTTAAGACACCAAACACGTCTTGACCAGCGGTCTACATTTGGGTTAAGGGGGAATTTTATAAAACTGATATTTTGGTGAACTATTCCTTTAATCCAGCGCATCAGCAAGTGCTGCAGCTTGGGCGCTCACATGCAGAATCATGTTCTCATTTCAGAATTTTAAATTCAATGGAAACACAGTGGACCATCCTGATTTAACCGTCATGTAAACTCACTCATTAGAACCGTAAAAGGTGAGGGAAAGGGTTTAGTTCTTTAGCTACACTGTTATTCTTAGAATTAACATTGGTCACATTATTATTAGTTGTTGTAGTAGTAGTAAAAGATTTATCATTTTGTATCATGGTTATTAAGAAAATTAAGTAATTTTGATAAATGAAGCTGAAGCTGTCTTCTTAATCGCCAACTTCTTATTCAAAATTTCCGTGCCACCTTAAATGGTGCTGTAGTTAATGCATCATTTAAGGTGGGACGGAAAAGTCGATAAGAATATGATGCCAGCTTCTATCTCATTTTTGATAATTAGCTTCAATAGCTAGCTGGTAACATTAACTTCATTTGATGCCTTGTTTAGTCATTGAGGATAGCTAGCTAACATTAACACCATCCAGTAGCCTAGCATTGTTCCATAATGAGGTAGGTTAGTGTAAGTTAATTTTAATTGTATTTTTTTAATACATTATTACATAATACATAATTTTTGTTTGAGGCAGCGTGATATAGTAGCAGGCAAAATTCAGATGATGAGTTGTAATTCAGTTGGTAATCTGTCTTCACTTGGTAATAGCTAACTGATTTAGCTAGCTATCTAGCGCTAAATTAGCGTGTTAGCGTAGCTTCCCTCCTCTGCTGTTAGTTAACGTTAGCTGTAAGTAAATCAGCATGTACACTGTGGCTTGTTGGCTGTTTATGGCTGTAGTGTAAAACAAACTGATCCTAGATCGGCTGCTTAGTGATTTCTAGCTTGTTGGATGATGTGAAGTAAACTAGCTTGCTAACATACAAATAGGAAGATATCTAGGAAATATCTGGGCTAAGTACCTGATGAAGAGTAATTTGGGCACATATGGCAGTGTTAGGGAATTCTTTGTATATTATTTTTGCAGCCATTATTCAGTCTCACACAAACCTGCTGAAACTGTAACACCACCGCGTTCTTATTCCATCCTTGAAGTGAATGCACCGGCTGGTGCTCATCTTCTCCACGTTAGGGTAAATCACATAGATTAGTGATCTCACAATGTAGATAGATATTACAGCCATCATCAGTAATAAAGGCTGTGTGTATATATATATATATATATATAAATATATATACATAGTATTTTTTTTCTTTTAAGTAAAAGTCTGTTATGTAAGTTATTCCACACTGATAACCATCCTGAAATTTCTGAAGTTAGGTCACCCCAAGCTTTTAAGGGCAGCCTAGTTTGAGATGTCTTACACAGGCGATCTAAAGAATTATTCTCTCTCCCCCCCACCTCTTTCTCCTAGGCATGCCCAGTTTCATCAAGTCTCCTGAAGATCAGATAGGTATCTCTGGCGGCGTGGCGTCCTTCGTGTGCCAGGCAGTGGGGGAGCCAAAACCACGCATCACCTGGATGAAAAAGGGGAAGAAAGTCAGCTCCCAGCGCTTTGAGGTGTGTGAGTGTGTTTGTGTTGATAAAAAACACTCGCCATCTACTTTATTCAAAACACCTATTTTGTGCTTTCACTCACTGGCTACTTAATTATAAACTCCTACCTTATAGGTCCACTATATGGGTGTACAATTACAGTAGCCCATCAGTTGGTGCACAATTTATCTGCCCCCTTTAACCCTTTCGTCTTTGGTCAGTTTCTGACCTCTGGGTTGCTGTTGGTGATTGGGGTATTTATGACAACCCGGAAATAAATCTGTGTTAACACTGTAACCACAGAATTAAAAGTCAAAGGAGCAACTAAGGACCAGCACTAGTATAATTTATACCGATGAAGTGCTTAAGAGTCAGAAGGATTTCCAAGTTGCCCTACTGCAATCACATTGCGCTCCTGTTGTCCCTTGCAACATTACAAGCAAGTGATATGATGCCTGTCACAACAGTTTTTTACTGTAATTACCTGATTGAAGTTTTTTGAGCTGATCGCAATGATTTAAGCTGATTGCTATTATTTTCTGCAGTTGCTTTCACAGTCCTGTGTTTATGCAGCAACAAACAGAATATGTATGTGGATGCGTTTTCATCAGTTGAGTAGAGGCAAATACTTGTAAATAAAAGAGAACGTTTAGTGAGACACATCATGGGTCTTACAAAAGCAACAAAAATTCCAACTTCTGACAAGAGTTATAGCAGCTGGTGAGGGCAGAAATGAGTAGTGCTTGTTTGAGCTCCAGCTTTGTCTGTGGCCAGTTAAGAGTATTGAATATGGACAGCTAGGAATCAAGACAGCTAACCAGCTAATTTGTCCAGTTAACTCACACTTTAATTGTTATGAACAGAAAAAGACAATTAAGTTGTTAATTGCTATTATTTGTAAGCAATTATTCATCAGCTAAAATTTCAGGATTGTGATGGACATACATGTTGTTTTTGTATTTTTTGCATCAAAAACACAGAATGCTTAATAATCTGTAATTTTTTACTGGTCATTTTCCAACCTCTCTTTATTCCTTAATATTAAACAGGTTGTGAATGAATGAATGCATTAGTATTTGTGACATCACAAAAACAGTGAATTCAACCCAGGGTTTTTTCACACTTATGCATGAACTGGAGCACATGTTTGAACTGTATGTTTATTAAAAATATTTCACATCAGACTCTTTAAATAAAAAAACTTTTTTTCCATGATAAATGACCTTTAATGTCTATTATTTGGCCAACCCTATTATAAGCCGGGGGGTAAGTTTGGTTAACTATTAGCTGAACTCAGGTTAGTAGGTCAGATGTAATTGTATGCTTTTCATCAGACACATCAAAGTGAGTGTGTGTGTTGTGAGCGAACTGACTGATGTGGGGTTCAAACCCCAGTGGTGCTGCACTCTCTTTTGTGAACGCCAAATGAAGAGTATCAGAAGATGCTGCTCAGACATTAGCCCTCTGTGGATGATCAAACTGTCTGTGAGCATGTGTGTATGTGCCTGTGTGTGTGCCTTGTCAAGAAGTGTGTAGCTGACTGGTATGATCAAAGAAAGGGATGCAAGTTTGTGTGGTGATTCAGTAAATGCATGTGTGTTTGAGTTCTGCTTCTTTGATTGTAAAGTGTGTATATAAAGATGCAGATGGATTTCTGGGAGGTTTGTTTGATATCTGATATTTTGTGTGTGTGTGTGTGTGTGTGTGTGTGTGCGTGTGTGCATCAGGTGATTGAGTTTGATGATGGCTCAGGCTCGGTGTTGAGGATCCAGCCGTTGAGGACACACAGAGATGAGGCGATTTATGAGTGTACGGCCACTAACAGCGTGGGGGAGATCAACACCAGCGCCAAACTCACTGTGCTGGAAGGTAAAGCACACTTTACTCTTGTACTGCACACTTTCATTTCTCAGAGCTCTTCTAGTTCTCTTTCTGAATTATCATTCTCATTCTCTCTCACTGTCTCTCTATCTCTGTCTCTCCCTCTCCCTTTAGTTTTCTCTTTCTCCATTCTCATTCTTTCTCTTTCTCTCTCTCTTTCTCTCTCTTCTTTTAGATCTCTCTTTCCCTATTCTCATTTCTCTCTCTCTGTCTGCCTCTTTCTCCTTTTTATTTTCATTCTCCAATCTCATCTTCCCCCTCCTGTCCTCCCTCCTTCCCTTCCTCCCTCTCTTCCTCCCTCTCTCTCTCTCTTTCATTTGATAAGGTGTATGTGTTGTTTGGAGTTGATTAATGTATTGTTTTTATCTGTTTGACTATGCTGTGTGCAGATTACTGATGGTTGGGTAGAATATGGTTTCTAAATATGTCTCTGTAGGAATGTATTTTGCCATGTGTTTGCTCTAGGTGGAATATTTCCTTTTGTTCATTCTCAGTAGTCTCGTGGGGCCAGACGTAATTTTGTAATGAGTATGCCTGGGGACAGCCTTGAGAAATTTTGGGTGGGTGGGTTCCATGTGAATGGGTATGTCGACTTCTTAGAGATTAGTGTGAAATTTCTAACCTAATCCAACACTTGTGAAGGTGGCGCTCAACGTAGGGGGCGATGCTGCGCTCATCAACATTGTCCAACAGACAATAAGCCTGTCGTAAGCCAATGGACATGACATAAAGGTCTGAGAAGTCCCCACCAGAAAACTCCAGTTAAGCATGTAGAAGTGTGCAGAGACATTACTGCTTGCAAGAGAAAAACAGTTCTGTTCTGTTTGTATACAGTGTATACTATGTAGTGTATTTTCTGTAAATTATGTTTACTTGGTTTATATATTGCATTTAATCCTAGGGAGATACCAGCGGCTGGAACCAAATTCCTTGGGTGTGTCAGCATACTTGGCCAATAAACAGTTAAAGCTAGAAATATCAGTTGTACATTAAAAGAGAATTGACAAGAGGAGTTTGAGGGCAGGTGGTATATAAAATGTCTTCAAGCATTGTGATATTTTCGCCATATTTTCCACGCTTACGCTGCATTTATGTTACAGCACAGCAAGTCGATTTTCGTTTTGCTTCTCATTTATTTCTGTGTGTGCGGGGGGTTGTGGGAGCAAGAGGTAGCGGTGCAAAGCATCCAGAGTTAAAAAAGAGGTAAAAAAGTTGAGATTTTCTGCAAATGAGATTGTCAGAAAGTGCCCCGTTGCGTTACGTCATGTGCCATTCAAACTACATGCTGAAATCAGTGTTGATGGAAGAAATTAAAATTTTTAAAAAGAATTTTAGACCTTTTCTCACCTGCCTTTCATCGGTGCACAGAACTATCTTAGAGCTTGAGAACAGGAGAGCTAAACTTTCTTGTATTTTAGTGTCACACCACAAAATGTCCAACAGATTGTGAGGTAAGCATTTCGGTTTGCTGTAATGTAAATGCAGCTTTAGGATTTAGTGATTTGCATCTGACTTTGGTACATATCCGTACGCCGTGTGCAGGGACTCATGTCTTTATTTGATTGTGGCTTCCGAGTCTGAATCTCTAGGAATTGGTTTTGCTCTGTTTTCTTTGGGTGGATCGTTTTTAAATTTTATTTTCTTCTCCTCAATGGAAAGATTAAAGATGAAGTCCAACAGAAATTATTTCATCCCCTCTCAGACTGATACAAAGTTTCCCCCTTAGAAATATGTTTTCTTGGAGCTCCCAGTTTGAGTGTGTGAGTGTGTGTGTTGTGTGCAGTGTGTGAGATGTAGGGCTGATTTCGTCAGAGCTGGTTGAGGATCCATGGCTGCAGGCTGTCACGCTCTGTGCCTTTTTTAAGCTTTTCTCGTTAAGTGCAGCTCTGGCACTCAGATAATTACTGCCTGCAGCGCAGGGGGTTGCACTGGAGCTGGATTTACCCTGTGAAAAAACTCCATCTTAGCATGGCAAAAGCTTAAATATAAGAAATGCATCTAATGTTTCTGTTCTCACCTAGAGCTTTGGATGTAATTAACCTATTATTTTTATTATTCAGTAACTACTATAAATATTTTATTGTCTACAATGAAACTTGTGTAAAATTCTGTAGTTATGAGAGTGTAGAATTGACGTTTGGACTTACATATCTCCTCTTTCGGAGTTTGAAGGGTTTGTGTAGTCTGACATGTTGGCGCTGAAAATACTGTCTACCTCGTAGTGGTACAAGTCTGACGGCAGCATACAGAAAAGAAAACATTGCCGTGGTGACAGCGATACTGGTGAAAATGTATTATTATTAGAGGAGAACTATAGCAATTTTAATTCCTCTTTTAAGGTAAAATACATAGGTGCTGTAGTTTTTTTTTTCTTCTTGTATACTATTGGATGATTCTGGACTTCAACAATGATATAGTTTAATAATGATTGAATATGTATATTGTACTTCTCTACTATGAAATACGACTGCACTGTTAAGGGTGTGACTGAGAAGGCATAGGTAGTTTGGCTTTATCACTAACTAAAAAAAAATTCCCAACAAAATCCATTCCTTAGAAGCCACAAGTTACTTTAGCTGGTGTCAGCTAGCACCAGAAACAATAAAATAGATACTTAGATACTGATGAACTAACAAAGGCAGATCATCCACTGAGGAGAAAAGACCTCATGTATAAGCCCAGAAGTACTCATCAGCATCTGACTGTGTAACTGCTAGCTCTAGTCTAGCCCGTTAGCTCAGCTGAGACAGCCTCTGTTGCTCATCTAACATGAAAACCAACAGATTTTCCTTGGCTATTTTTGAATAATGAAATATGTTTTAGAATAATCTCTGTGCTGCTAAGTCTTTGTACTACTGATTTAGACTTTTAACAGTGGTGAGATATTACATCATCTAAAAGTTAAGCCAGATAGGACTGGGCAATATAACAAAATGTATTGGTATCGTGATGAATTATACCACAACATTCCATGAGATGCTTTTCTGAGCATATTGTGGATATTATCAATACTCAAAAAACCTTTGCAACTGTATGTTTGAATGCAAAGAGAGCATAATTGGCAGCACAACATGTGAAATATTGAATACAAATCACAGTATTCATAGCTTTTGACAGCATTTTAAAGTGTGGCACTCATCCGTCTGTTCCAACTTATCAGATGTCAGAATAAATAAATATTGTCACATGTTGTGTATTGTGAAAACCTCTTGAAGCATCGTCATAATACTTTTTTGCCATATCACCCACCCCTACCTGCAGCCCTACATTAATTTGGACCAAAGTCACTTTTATTTAAATTACTGGTATTGGGTTGGTATTCTGTGTTGACTGATGTCTTGAGTCCAGATTATAATTAGTAATGGTGGAGAAAAAGTTGGTTGGGTGAATATGTAGTTTTTAGGTAGTTTAGTAAATGTATAGTACTTTGTCAGTTATATTTCACCAACAGTTTTTTTTTCCTCTACTTTTATTTCCTCAGTATCAAGCTTTTGTCTTGCATAAAGGCCTTCGGTGGTTTAGCTGCCCAGTGGCTGTGTTGGCGTACGTGTGTTACAAAAAGACAAACTAAAACCTTTTTCTCTCATGTAATTATTTTGCTGAATACCCACCTGCCTGGTTTTGTAACACACACATTAATCCTCCAGACCAGAATTTATAAATCAGGCTTTTTGTCTTCTCTTATTTGCTGTACTGTAACAGTGCTGTTTCAGCTGTTCACTGTGAACCTCTTCACCTTTTGTCTGTAGTGGATTCTCTCTCTCTCTCTCTCTCTCTCTCTCTCTCTCTCTCTCTCTCTCTCTCTCTCTCTCTTTCTCCCTATGCTACAAGCACAAACATACCATACGTGTTGTCTACTAATGGTGTTTTTACTGAATGTGTCACAATAAAAACACGGTTTGGTTCTTCTGTACTTATTGTACATTTGTAATAATACAAACTACAAAATTAGCATTAATTCAATTATCCAGGGGCTGATATTGCTTATTGCCCAGTGCCTCTGGCCACAACATTTTAAATTTTGGCTGCTAAAATGTAGAGCTTGTGTCTGAGTGGTCACTTGCCTTGGAGTTTATTTGCCTTGCATTTAATGTCTCAACAAACAGCCACACCTGCTGAATTTTCACACATTCACAAATTATCTGTCATTAATAACAAAACAACTACTTTTAACTATCCCGCGCCTGTCTGATCAGACATGGAAATAATTACATCAAATCACACTTTGTTGGAATTTGAGTTTAACATTAAGTTTACCACCGTGATAGCTGAAGTGACAGGAAGTAGCAACTTTTTTCTAGAACTCTGAGTTTTTTAGTTTTCTTTGTAGCCTACTGAGATTGGTTTTTAAAGTGTGGCTAAAGAAAGAGTCAGCCTATGATGATGACGACTATGGACGAAAAAATGAATCAGAAAGTTCAGAGTTGAGTGAAAGAAAGAATTTTTGCGGCTGGAGTATGACTTTGAGAATAAAGTGATGGTTTGTCAAGTATGTTGTCAGTTTCCATGACAGACAAACACAAGTTCATTACAGAGAGTAACTTTATTTAGAAAACACAAAATTTTTAAAAGCATGACCTTAAAAAATGCATAGTGATATTTAAAATTATTATGTCTACCCCTGCACTCAGCAAACATATATATATGCATCCCGCTTGAACCAGCTTAGAATTGTCTCACTCACCTGAAATCAACTGAGTTGATAACTTTAACTGAACTTTGAACATCCAAAAGTGTGTGTGTGTTTATGTTTGTGTTCAGAGCTTGTAGTTCTGATGGAGTGATCTTTCCATGCCTTTGCATTGACCATGTAGATTAAACACACACATACACATGGCTGTCATGCAAGAGATATCTCTCACTGTGGGGTCGTGTTGTGTGCTGTAGTGCTGTAGTGGAGCGTGTTTGGGCGTGTTGAATATGGAGGTGCTGATACTACATGCTGATAAGCGTCAAGCTTCTGCTTCATTGCCAAGTTCAGCTTCGAG